ATCCCTGGAGTGGATCCCGGTTGATCCTGGTGAATGATCTTTTTAATGTGCTGTTGAATTTAGTTTACTAGTATTTTGTTGAGGATTTTTGGTTTTCTTTTTTGGTTGTGTTTTTGTCTGGTATTTGTTTCAGGTTAATGCTGACCTTATAGAATGAGTTTAGAAGTATTCTTTCTTTTTTAATTTTCTGGACTTGTTTGAGAAAAACTGGTGTTAGTTCTTTAAATATTTGGTAGAATTCAGCAAGTGAAACCATCAAATCCTGCACTTTTCATTGACAGGATACTTTTTAATTACTGTCTAGATTTTCTCAGTGGTTACTGATTCAGCTCTTGATAGATTGTATTTGTTCAGGAATTTATCTATTTCTTATATGCATTTGTTAGCATGTAATTGTTAATGATATTGTCTTATGATCCTGTTTATTTCGGTGCTATAATTTGTAATGTCTCCTTTTTGATCTCTGACTTTGTTTGAGTCTTTTCTTCTTTGTTAATTATTGTAACTAAAATTTTACTCATCTTTTTTTTACTTTTTTTGTTAATATCTATTGTTTTTCTAGTCTCTATTTCATTTATTTCTGCTCTCACTTTTATTATTTTCTTCCTTTTAGTTCTTGCTTTTTTTAGTTTTTTGTTTTTGCAGAGGGTGTGTGCAACACTAGGTTACTCATTGGAGAACTTTCTTCTGTTTTGATGTATTCATTTATTGCTATAATCTTCCCTCTTAGAATTGATTTTGCTGTATCTCTTAGGCTTTTATATGTTGTGTTTCCAGTTTTGTTTTTCTCAAATTATATAATTGCTCTGTTAATTTTTTCATTGACCCATTGATTTTTTTTCAGGATCATATTTTTAATTTTTCTGTGTAGTTACTGAAGTTTCTTCTGTTACTGATTCTAGTTTTGCACCATGTATTCAGAAAAGATACTTGGTATGATCTCTATCTTCTGAAATTTGTTAATGCTTGTTTTCTTGCCCAATATATAATTTATTCTGATGAATGTTTCATGTGCAATAGAGAAGAATGTTTACTCTGCAGCTATTGGATGGAATATTCTGCAAATGTCTGTTAGGTCCATTTATTCTAGAGTGCAGTTTAAATTTGATGTTTCTATATTGATTTTCTGTATGGATGATCTGTTTATTCCTTGGAGTGTAGTAAAGTCTCCTAGTTTATTGTATTTCACTCTGTCTCTCCATATATATGTAAGAATATTTGTTCTAGTGCTGGGTGCATATATATTTACATTTGTTATGTCCTTATGCTGAATAGACCCCTGTATATAATGATTTTTGTCTCTTTTTAGGTCTTTGATTTGTAGTCTGTTTTATCTTACGTAAGTACAGCTATTTCTTCTTTTGATTTCTGTTTGCATGGAATTTCTTTATCCATCCTTTTACCTTCAGTCTGCGTGTGTCCTTTCAGGTGAAGTGAATTTCTTGTAGGCAGCATAAAATTGGGTATTGTTTTTTATTCATTCAGCTACTCTATATCTTTTAATTGAAGAATTTAATACATTCATATTTAAGGCTCTTACTGATAGGTAAGGACTTGTTCTGTTACTTTGTTAATTGTTTTCTAGTTGTTCTGTAGATTCTCTTTTCCTTTCTTTTTCTCTTTTGTTTACCTTTGTGGTTTGGTGGTTTTTGTGAGGCTAAACTTTGATCCCTTTTTCTTTCTCACTTGTATATCTGCTAGAGTTTCTTTGTTTTAGGTTACCATAGGGCTAACATAAAGATTCTTCTAGTTATAATAGACTATTTTATGTTTATAACAAGTTAACTTTGTCACAGTAAAACACTCTGGACTTTTACCTTCCCCCCCACAATATGTATTTTGTTACATCAATTTAGAAACTTACATATAGGTTGTTCCTTAAGCGTTAATTGTAGTTGTGGTTATTTTTAATCGTTTTGACTTTTAAGTTTTGTATTAGAGATCTGACATATTTATATAGCACTATTATAGTACTGGAGTATTCTGAGTTTGATTATGAATATACCTCTACTAGTGAGTTTTATATTTTTATGTGTTTTCATGAATGTAATTATCGTGCTTATACTTCTAGTTGTAGTAATCTCTAAAGCATTTCATATAAGACTGGTCTACTGGTGATGAATTCCCTCAGTTTTTGCTTGTGTGAGAAGGACTATATTTTTTAACAATAATTTTGCTGTGTGCAATATCCTTAACCGGCAGTTTTTTTTTCCTCTCTGCCATTTGACTCTACCATTCCATTTTTCACTGGTGTATAAGATTTCTGCTGAAAAATCTGCTGATAATCTAATGGGAAGTCTCTTTTATGTGACTTGATAGTTTTCTCTTGCTGCTTTTAGGATTCTCTCTTTGTTTTTGACTTTTTATAGTTTGTTTTTAATGGGCATTGGAGGGTACCTGTTTGGTTTGAATTTATTTTGGGACCTTTGAGCCCATGAATCTGATGTTTCTGTGTCTCCAAAACTTACAACATTTTTAGATATTATTTTATTAAATTGTTTTCTGTGCATTTCTCCATCTCTTTCCTCTCTGGAATTCCCATAATGCAAAAACTTGTTTCTTAATGGTGTTCCATAAGTCCTTTAGGCTTTCTTTATTATTTTAAAATTCTGTTTCTTTTCCTCCTGACTGGGTGATTTCAAAAGACCTGTCTTCAAGTTTAGAAATTCTTACTTCTGCTTGATCTAGCCTGTTGTTAAAGCTCTCAATTACATTTTTCATTGTGTTAATTGAACTTTTCACCTCAAAGATTTGTTGGTTCTTTTTGGTGATATGCAGTTCTGTGGAATTTTAAATTCAAATCATGAATTGCTTTCCTGATCTTATTGAACTTTTATGTGTATTCTCATGTATCTCACTGATTTTTCTTTAAAATTATTATTTTCAATTCAAAATTTTATTGAAATAGGCAGATCTTAGAAAAATATATATCTCCAAAGCAGACTTAGGAAGAAATAGAAAATCCAGATAATTCTATACCTTTAAAAGAACTGTAATCAGTATTTAAAATCCTCCTACCACAAAAGTAGAAAGCCATCACTCAAGGAACTAATAATTTCAATCATACACAAAGTCATTCCTAGAACAGAAAAATATATAAAATATATAATTGTTTCTAACTAAGTTTATAAAGCTAGTAAAACTTTAGAAGGATAAAATGAAATGGGAGCATTACAGACCTGTCTACCTAATTAGCCTTGCAAAAAAATCTTAAGCAAATATTAACAGACCGAATTCAGCATTGTGTAAAACAACTACATTATGATTAAATTGAGTTTAATCCAGGGAAGCAAGTTTGGTTTAACATTAGAAAAAAAAAAACTCTTAATGTAACTCACTATTTTAGCAGATCAGTGGTGGAATGGCATATTAGATAATTCAGGTTCTTTAATCTGTATTCATATGTGATTGAAGAAAGTAAAAAGTGATAAATAGTGCAGATCATAATGGAGAAAGGTTATTACTCTGAAAGTTTTAGTTGAATGCTGTAGAAAGAATTGACAAAACTACATGGAAGAAAAATATTGCTTTCAAATTAGGCATAGGGAGACTAAACTAGTTAATTTTGTCAGAAGTTTAAGAAAGAAACTATAAATGTATACTCATTCACTAATCTTTTAATGAAGGATTATGACCTTTCCTTTGAGCAGGGATTCAGTGAATGGAGTGCAGCAGTGGACCTATCTCCTCTCTGCAGTTTCAGTTTGTCTCTTTATTATAGAGGAGAGGGAGCCTAAAGAACATATGGTGAAATCTCAATACAGGAGACTGTTAGGTTTTTATGATTTTGTCCTAAATTCTAGCTCAACACCCATCCAAATCACGTTACCTAAGAGGGATGCCGATACTACTGTAGTTTTTGGTGTTTGAGTAGTAGGATATGGAAGCAAGGGAATGGGGATGTGGTTGCATAAATAATTTACTGAAATAAACTATGATTTTGCTGACTATATAAGTAAGTTTTGTTTTTGTTTTTGGTGTTTGACCATGAAGAGTAGATTGCTTTTCTCTTGAGATTACTGCAATTTCCTTTATTTTATTTTAATTTAATTTTTATATAGAGACAAAGTCTTGCTACATTGCCCAGGCTGGTCTCAAACTCCTGGGCTCAAGTGATCCTCCCGCCTTGGCCTCCCAAAGTGCTGGGATCAGAGATGTGAACCTCTGCACCCTGCTGAGATGGCAAGTTCTTGTCTCAGATTTCAAAGTAGAGTTTTTCTCCTTTTTTTGGGATTTTCATACTTTTAAAGCTATTTAAATAAAGGAAAAAAAAGTAGTAATACTCCAGTAAAGGAAGATCTCATTAGATGTGTGTGTATGAAAATATACACATGTGTTGTATACATATTAGATAAGCATAGTTTATATGTTTGTATATGTATGTATATGAATAAAATCTGTGGATAAAATTACTTATTGAGGCTATTTTTTGGAAACACTTTAAAATTGTAGCTAAATTATTTCTTAATAACCTGTATCGCAACTATTTTTAAATGTTGTATCTAATTAGGCATATTATAAGATGTTTGGTGTTATGTTTAAACTGTTGCGAACTGAGGTAAATTAGTTGAAAGTTAATTGCAGCAGTATGAGCAGCCTAATTATATCTCTAATTCTTTGATCCTGGAAGGATGGACAAGGAAAGGGGAAATGTTAGTCAAAGGGTGCAAAGTTTCAGTTAGAAGGAGGAATAAGTTCCAGTGATCTATTGAACAACATGGTGAATATTGTTAACAGTCATGCATCATATATTTTAAAATTGCTGAAAGAGTGGGTTTTAAATGTTTTACTTCAATGAATGGATAAGTATGTGAGGTGATGGATAAGTTAGTTAATTTGATTTAATCATACTAAAATGTATACATGTATCATAATGTCACATTTACTCTATGCAATTTTTGTCATTTAAAAATATTTCTAAAAAAGGGAAAGTCAGTATGTTTATGTATAATGATTTTTACTCTTCTAAAAGAGATTTTTTTTTTTTTTTTAAATTTCAGATAACCTAATGAGGCCTCTTTTGAATTATGGTATTGCTTGGTGAGCATAATTTTTTTTACTTGTGTTACTTTTCAGAATAATATTGATTAAATTATACAAATTAGTTGTATTTTTGTATTGCTGTTGCAGTATGTCTATGGGCTTCCTGGTTGAAGAGACTGCACCAGTTGTTTGGAGAGGCCTTATGGTAATGTCAGCCATTGAGAAACTGTTGAGGCAGGTAAGACGATCGCATTAAATATCATTTTATCATTGACAAAGTTGTGGTTAATACATTTGCTGGTAAGAAAATTGTTAAAATTTGCAGTCAGGTTTGAGATGTTTTATAAGGGAATCCGTTGATGGGATTAATGTGTAATAAGTCATGTGATGCCTAATGAGTTATATGGTACCAAGACTAAAAGTCTCTGTTACATGATTTAATCATCCCCGTTGCTTATTACTATTAAAAATCCTAATATCTTATTTAATATTGTCTTTTTTCTTTGTTGTGCCTGCAATAAAAAGAACAAATCTGTTTCATAAGTAATCTGCCTTTTTAGAATTATGCTTAATCTAATTGTGGCCAATATTGTGGTCTGTCTGTCTGTCTGTCTGTCTATCTATCTAATCTAATCTAATCTAATCTAATCTAATCTAATCTAATCTATCTAGATATATTTTTTTTTAGCTTCAGGGGATACACATGTTTTCATTACATGGGCATATTGTGTAGTGGTGGGGATTGGGTCTCAGGTGGTCCATTCCCCAGATAGTGAACATTGTGTCCCTTAGGTAGTTTCTGAACCTTAACCCCCCTCCTTCCTAATTGGTGTCATCAGTACCTGTGATTTCCATCTTTGTGACTGTTTAGCTCCCACATATTTATGAGAACATGTGGATTTGATTTTCTGTTTCTGAGTCAGTTCACTAAGGATGATAATCTCTAACTCCTTCCATGTTGCTGCAAAGGACATGATTTCATTCTTTTTTATGATGACATGGTACTCCATAGTGTATATATACCACATTTTCATTATCCACTGATCAGTTGTTGGATATTTAGGCTGACTGAACATCTTTGCAATTGTGAATTGTGCTACGATGAATGTGTGGGTGCAGGTGTCTCTTATTATATAACAACTTCTGTTCCTTAGGGTATACCTAGTAGTGGAATTGCTGGATCAAATGGTAGATCTACTTTTAGTTCTTTGAGTAATCTACATACCACTTTCCATAGAGATTGTACTAATTTACTCCCACTAGCAGAATATGAGCATTCCTTTTAGGGTTCTCCAGATATAGGACCATATCATCAGTATACGAGATAGTTTGATTTCTTCTTTTCCAATTTGGATACACTATATTTCTTTTTCTTTGAGTTGGAGTCTCACTCTGTCGCCCAGACTGGAGTGCAGTGGCCGCTCCCGGTCACTGCAGCCTCGACCTGCTGGGCTCCGGTGATCCTTCCACCTCAGCCTTCCAAGTAGCTGGAGCTGCAGACGTGCACTACCATGCCCGGCTTATTTTTTGATTTATTGTAGAGATGAGGTTTCGCTGCCCAGGCAGGTCTCGAACCTGCAGGCTCAGGCAATCCACTCACCTCAGCCTCTCAAAGGCATGGGATTACAGGCTGAGCCACCGAGCCCAGTTTATTTCTTTTTCTTGCATGATTGCTTTGGCTAGGACTTTCAGTACTTGTTCCAGTTCTGAGGGGGAATGTGTTCAACTTTTCTCTGTTCATGATGACATTGGCTGTGGGTTTGTCATATATAGTTTTTATTATTTTGAGGAATTTTCTCTCTATGCCTATTTTGTTGAGGCTTTTTATGAGGGATGCTGGATTTTATCATGCTTTTTCTGTGTCTATTTAAATGATCATATGATTTTTGTTTTTAATTTCGCTTGTGTAGTTGATCACATTTATTGACTTGCTTATGTTGAACCTACCCTTACATCCCTGGGATAAGACTTACTTGGTTGTGGGTTTTTTTTTTCAATGTACTGTTGAATTTCGGTTTGCTAATAATTTGTTGAGGATTTTTGTGTCTATGTTCTTAAGGGATATTGGTTTGTAGTTTTCCTTTTTTGTTGTTTTTTTCCTGGTTTTGGTATCAGAGGGATACTAGTCTCACAGAATGAGTTAGGGAGGATTCCTTCCTCTTCAATCTTGTGGAATAGCTTCAGTAAAATTAATACCAGTTCTTTGAAGGTTTGGTAGAATTCAGCTGTGACTACATCAGGTCTTGGACTTTTTTTTGTTGGGAGACTTTTTATAGCTGTTTCAATCTCATTACTCATTATTGGTTTGTTCAGGGTTTGTATTTCTTTCTGATTCAATATTGGGGGGTTGTACATTTTCAAGAATTTATCCATTTCCTCTTGATTGTGTAGTTTGTTTGCATAGAAGTGGTCTTAATAGTCTTGAATGATCTTTTGAATTTCCATCTTATAAATTGTAATGTTTCCTTTTTCATTTCTGATTGAGCTAATTTAAGTCTTCTCTCTTCATTTCTTAATTAATCTAGCTAGTGGTCTATCAATTTTGTTTATTTTTTCCAATAACCAACTCTTTGTTTCATTGATCTTTTGTTTTTTAAATTTAAATTTCATTTAGTTGTGCTCTGATTGCTCAAAATGCTAGCTTTGGGTTTGGTTTGTTTTGGTTTTTCTAATTCCTTGAGGTATGATGTCAGGTTATCAATATGTGATCTTTCAGTCTTTATAATGTAGGGTTTAAGTTGTATAAATTTTCCTTTGAGCACAGCTTTGGTTGTGTCCCAGAGGTTTTGATAACTTATTTCATTGTTGTTATTTGTTTCAAGGAATTTTAAATTTCCATCTTGATTTCATTGTTGACCCAAGGATCATTCAAGAGCAAATTGTTGAACTTCTATGTCTTTGTTTGGTTTTGTGAGTTCTTCTTGGAATTAATTTCTAGTTTTATTCCACTGTGGTCTGAGATGGTGCTTGATATGATTTCTATTAAAATTGAGACTTGATTTGTGGCCTATCATGTGGTCTGTCTTGGAGAATGTTCAATGTACTGATGAGAAAAATGTATATTCTGTAGTTTGTAGGTGCCTGTTAGTTTCATTTTCTCTAGAATCCTGTTTAACATTGGAATGTTTCTTTGTTGACTTTCTTCCTTGATGATCTGTCTATTGCTGTTAGTGGAATGTTGAAGTCTCCCACTATTATTGTGTTGTTACTGTCTGTCTCTTTTTATAGGTCTAGTAGAATTTGTTTTATAGAGCTGGGGGCTCTGGTGTTAGGCTCATATATATTTAAGATTGTTATGCTGTTATGCCTTCTCATTGCATTGATCCCTATGTCATTATATTATAGCCATGTCTGTCTTTTTTTTTTTTTTTTCTGTTGTTAATTTAAAATCTGTATTATCTGATATTAGAATGGCTACTCCTGCTTGTTTTTGATTTACATTTTCATGGAATATTTTTCCCCACCCCTTTACCTTGAGTCTATAGGAATATTTATGAATTTAGTGGGTCTCTTGAAGGCAGCAGATATTTGGGTTGTGTTTTCTTATACATTCTGCCAGTCTATATATTTTTAGTGGGTATTGAGACCATTTACGTTGAGAGTTAATACTGATATGGAAGGTACTATTCTACTCATCATACTGGTTGTTATCTGGTTCTTTTAAAAATTTATTTTCTCTATTGCACTGGTGTTCCATAAAACCTGTGGACTTTAATATTTGCAGTATTGGTGTATTTTGACCCTTTGTTTCAGTCTTTAGGACTCCTTTGAACATTTCTTATAGAGTCAGTACAGTGGTGACAAATTCCCTCTGTGTTTGCTCATCTGCAAAGGACTTTATTTCTCCTTCATTTGTGAAACATAGTTTTGCAGGATAAAGAATCCTGTTGTTTTTTTTTTCTCTTTTAATTTTTATTTTGAAATTGTGGGGTACAATTCAGGGTTAGGTATACAAATGTTCATTGTGCAAGTACCCTTATTGATAAGGTTTGCCCCCACTTGCCCAGGTGGATATTGATTACCGTCAATCCCAGCTATCCCCTACCACTCCTCTCCCCACAGTTTCTGACTACTTTCAATCCCTTTCCTATAGTAATATGGTAGTTGTTCAAGGTCCACTTATAAATGAGAACATGTGATACTCATCTCTTTGTTTCTGTGAGAGATCACTCAGTATTATAAGCTCTGATTCCATCCACGTTGCTGCAAAGTTTATGATTTTGTTCTTCTTTATGGCTGTATAATATTCCATTGTGTATGTATATCACATTTATTTTATCCAGTCCTCTTTTGATGGGCAGCATGGTTGGTTCCATGTTCTTACAATTGGGAACAATGCTGCGATAAACATATGTGCAAGTATCTTTTTTATAGAGTGACCTGAGTTCTTCCAGGTATATTCCCAGTAGGGGGATTGCAGGCTTATATGGAAGGTCAATTTTTAGGAGTTTTAGGAATCACCACACTGATTTCCACAGAAGCTGTACTAGTTTACATTCCCACCAACAGTGTAGAAGTGTTCCCTTTTCGCCACATCTTCTCTAGCATGTTATTTTTTGAGTTATTGATGATGGCCATTCTGACTGGAGTTAGGTGGTATCTTAGTGTAGTTTTAGTTTGCATCTCTTTGATGATTAGTGAGGCTGAACCTTTTTTCATGTGTCTGTTGGTCGCTTGTATGTCTTCTTTTGAGAAGTGTCTATTCATATCTTTTGCCCACTTTGTAATGGGGCTGTTTGTTTTTTTCTTTTCAGCACGTTTGAGTTCCTCGTAGATCCTTGATGTTAGGCCTTTGTCAGACATGGAGTTGGCAAATATTTTTTCCCAGTCTATGAGCTGTCTCCCTGCTCTCTTGATGGTTTCTTTGGCTTTGCAGAAGCTTGTCAGTTTAATGAGGTCCCACTTGTCTATCTTATCTCTTATGGTGTGGACACTTCAGGTTTTGATCAGGAATCGGTTGCCAGTTCCAACTTCCATAAGAGTGTCTCCTGCATTTTCTAAGGTTCCTACACTTTGAGGTTTTACATTTAGGTTTTACATAAGGTTCTTACACTGTGATCCATTTAGAGTTAATTTTTGTGTATGGGGATAGGGAGGGACCCTGTTTGAATCTTCTGCATGTGGTCAGCCAGTTTTCCCAGCACCATTTACTGAATAGGTTCTCCTCAACCCAGTAGTGGGTGGCGGAGGCTTTGTTGAAGAGGAGTTGGTTGAGAAATTGAGGTTTTGCTTCTGGTA